AGCGCGTCTGCGACGATTGATTCCATCACTTTGGATAGTACAGGAAGTAGTGTTATTGGACGGTAGTTTGCAGGATCAGTGCGGCTACCTCCTTTATGGATAGGAGTGATGACCCCTTGCTTCCATACTGGTGGAATAAGGTTTTCCTCTAGACATCGCTGATAGAAAATCGCCAGTGGTTCTGCTAGATCACTAGCTACCGTCTGCAGAGCCTTTGGTTGGATGTTATCAGCTCCGGGAGAACTGTGGATACGCAAGGATAACAACTTCTTCAACACTTCCTCCGTAGTGAAGGTGATGTTTTCTAAACCAGATGGTGGAGTATTAGGAATGAGGTGAATGTTTGGGCTCGACACTTGTTGGAACGTTTGGGAGTAATGAAGCCGTAGGAGATCAGCTGCTTCCATTGCTGACCGCGTGTATCCATCAGCCGTGACTAGCGCCGGAACCCCTCGCTTTACCTTTTGAAGGCCGTTAATGTGCCTGTACAGGAGTTTGTGCTTAGTGCAGAATCGCTTCATTAACTTCTGCTGATGCGTGACCTTGTCTTCGCGGATCAGTTTCACACAGAAGTTACGATGTGTCACGTATGCAGTCCAGGTTTCGGCATTCGGGCAACCCTGGTGATTTCGCCATGCCAAATCCCTCCGGGACATACATTTACGTGTTCTTCTCCTCAGAAATGACTTACTCTGGTTTTTGGGTTGGAGGGACTTCTGTTCTGATGCTTGCGCTACCAGTGTGCTCAAAGTCCTTGCAAACATATCCCAGGCCAGATCTGGGGGGCATTCGATTAGGAAAGTCCATGATGTATCCTTAAAAAGCTTGGACAACACATTGTAGTGCGTGACAGTGTGCACTTTATCCTCCTCCTTTTCCGGGTACTCGGCATAGCATATATAATCAAAGAGTAGAGTGACATGATCACTACGACCCAGTGGTGTGCTTGTAACTATCCCGCCAACCATGAGTTCTTCGTTAGTTAGCACAAGATCTAGTATCGACGGCTTGTTAGCAGTTCGAAATCTGGTGGGAGAGGTTACGTGGTTGTAAAGAGGGTGGATAGCAATAAGTTCTTGCAAACAGACTTTAAACTGCGTACCGTCAGTTGCCGGCGTTTCTATGTCGTGCACGTTAAAGTCTCCCGCGATAAGAATGTGGGTGTAGGACTTGTTCAAAGCAAACTGAAAAACGTGGTACAGTTTGGAGTCCATTTCCGACGTTGAGTTTGGCGGGCGATAAACCACGGCTAGTAGACATGTGTCCTTGTTTCGCAACCAAAGGCGGCACCAAGGCGAATCGGGAGCTCGGATTTCCAGGTGATCGATAACTTCACATCGGAGGCTTGTATTATAGTAAAGAATCACACCGCCACCCATTCCGGTTCTATCGGTCCGAAGCAGCGACATACCGGGTAACTTGATCTCACAGTCGGTTATCTCAGGGTTTAACCATGTCTCTGTAATCATGACGAGGTCCCGCGGTTATGAGGCATGGAGTTCTCTAAGTTCGGCTAACTTGCTTCGAAGGCCTTGAGCGTTTGTGTACATACAAGATAGGGATTTTGTGGTTAGGAGTTCATTGGTGGATGTCAAGTTTGTGTTCGCTTTTAAGCCGGCCGTTAGGTGGCCGGCAATTAATCGTTTTTTGGTTTGTGTATTTCAGTCGTGTTACATGACATTATTGAGCGTTCCTGAACTGATGGTTCACTCGTGCTGCGCTCGGTCCTCCTGTGTGACGTGGGCGCTGTTGTGTCGGTCTCTCCGAAGGACTGTGCAAATAAAGAATTCGCAGGGTTTGCAAGTTCCATCGAATTTCTTCCGACTTATGGTCGTTCGCCTGCAGCCTTTAGCCGTATTTCTGTTGGTAACCTAGCTCGAAACTTTAACCAGCTATCCAACAGAACTTTCGTCATTCCCTCGGAGTGTAGTATTACCTTCATTAGCCTTGGACCGCAGCCCTTGTAGTTAGGTGATAACGGAACTCTTGTTCGGGATTTGGCAAAAACATTGTTAACAGAGAGTGCTTCGCGGATGTAGCACCACTGCTCTCGGTCATGAGTTTGTGCATCGTGATCGCAAGAATGCAGGAGCTCGGGAACACCATGAACAAATATTGTTTTCTTGCTATCCCTAGTAGCAATACCGCGTTGCTCCACTGCTTCTTTTGCGCGGTCTTTCCAAGGTAGATCAGGTAATATGCGCATGGAAATTAGACAAGGTTGGATGACGCTGTTCCATATGAGGTAGGCTATTTTGCAAAGGCTGTTTCAGCTGACTTCACCTGTCCGTCCTAACCATCTTTTGGTTTGCCGCAAAAGGTTGGCTTGCTTCTAACCAGCATTCACAATCCAACACGATGTTTTCAGCGTGGTATCTTGATCTCTGAACTCCATATTTTGCAAGTAGGCACTATAGCAATATTAATTCAACTAATTTTCAAGTTGTCATCTATCTCATTGCATTTAAAACCATCTTTTTGCTGCCTTTTCAGAATGATTGCATAAACCTGCCCAACGCTGTGATTATATTTTTCGTTGCGTCATCAATGTAACATGGGTTATCCAAAGTGACACACTTGCTAACCCAAATGACCGCTTAATTGCCGGCTGTGAACTGTTTTCAGATTAAAGCAAAGGAATTAAAACTAGCCTTAAACAGATACGAAAATATGTTTGCAGTACGAATTTTAAACGCAGCAGCTACACTGTGCTATGCCAACCTATGCGAAATGAGAAAAAGGATTACCTCACCAACTTGTTTGCGCCGCATCTTATAAAGGGTTTGAATTGTCACGGAAAGCTTTATCCGCGCCTTTTCGTAGCACCTTCAGATTTTTTCATCATTTGTAAATACTGACGTGGTGCATGTGCATGTAGCATGACCTTCTTGTAAAAGGGCTCCAGAATTCCACTGGTTTTCCTCACTGGATAGTATCTGTGGAAATGCGCAATCCAATGTGTTTTCGGGATAAAACTACATCTTATCCACTAGGTTGTATATAAATTGCAAAATGGAAAGAATAAAAACATTTCCGAAGACGGTCAAAGTTAACCTGATGCTTGCCGGAATTCCGCGCAAAGGAATGTGGTCATCAGCCTCAGCAAAGCAGGGCTAGACTGGCGATACACTGGGTTTTTTTTACACGAAGTAAATTTTCGCCGCCTAATTGCTGAAACTTCAAAGAACTTAAGCAGACGAGTGGAGCTGTGTCCGTTGATTAACCTAACTACTTCCTGTAGGTTTTCTCACATAGAGCAGTCAAATATGTGTCCGGCGATTGAACGTACTCGCCATCGCAAGTACACTGAAACACGTAAATTCATGAAGCCGTAAAGTCTGGATTGTGTAGTTTGGATTTAAACCTCAACTTTTTAACTTGGTGCGAAACCACGAGCTCATCAGCGTAATAACAATGTATGGATTAAGGGAGACGATACCGGAATCTCCTGTCATTCTTTTCTTTTATGAATGGCAAGGTTAGGACTACTATTTGCCTAGGTACCTCGGTCACTCGTCCATTCTCGATTTTCCCGTTCGCGTTAGAGTGCTTTGTTATGAAATTCTCTAGGTATCCGTTTTCACGTAATGTCGAGGAGGTAGATTGCAGGTCACATTCTGTTGTTTCTTCAGAGCAGATCTGACGATCTCACAAAAATGCTAACAACCGGAGCTCGTTTGTATTTCACAAAAGAGAAACTATTAAGGTTAAAGTGCTACCTTGTCCGAATAGCTTTACGGTAGACAGGTCGAATAAGTGCACCATGTGGGTTTGTCTCTACGTTAACATCAAAAATGGAAAGCACGGGAACATTCGTCTTCAGCAATGAATTTAATCACAGTGTGGCAGCGTTTTAGAGCACAAGATAGGTGTTTTGCTTGTTCGGCATTGTCTATAATCACGTGTGTCATCTGTGTAGCGACTATATGAATGCAAGTTTTGTATGTGAGGACATAGCTTGGTGTTTCACAGGTGGTCCATGAAGATATTAGACAAAACACGCTCCTGTGGACAGCTCACAGTTACACCATCGACCCCAATATGCACAGTGCCTATTCTATTCTATCTAGTCCCATACTGTACTACGCAGATGTCCACAAAATATCCTTGTGCTTAATTATTCGCACTGCCTTTGCATTCGCTAAATTTTGCCATAAACATGGCATGCGTTTATGCGTGCGTGCCAAGTAAAGAAGTGCTGGTTTGTCCTGAAGCAATGCGCATTCCTTCCAAATTGTTTTCCACTTTTACCACGGATCTTGATTATATTATAAAACTTTTGGCTTAGCACGGACCACCAAATTCTATCTATAGCTTCTGTATAAGCACAGGTGTCTCCTACTTTTTCAGAGACAAAGCAACAACTTAAACAAATACATTCACTATAGGCCGTTTCGTTTGATGACACTGTTCCACATTCGCACCAAACACCAATCAACCACCCTAGGTGATGAAATCCCTAAAGCGTTTAATTGATATCATTGAACCATTCTTTTTCATCCTGCTCACATGATTCTGAGGTTTGACCACCTTGGCCTCTTAATTTATGGTAAACCGCTTTAACAGGAATTTCACCCCAAGGTACGGTTATGGTACAGTTGTTCTACATTCTGGTATAGGAATTCCCTACGTCATATTCACAGAAATATCTTCAACTGACTAGCTTTTATCCTCTTCAAATTGTTACAACATACTACCTCATCCGCATAAAATGTCGATGCGGACAGATATTGTCTCAGTGCCACCGCCTATAGCCATATGGAAGCAGCTTGAGTTATGGTGACTCGTATCTGTACAACTCATCACACTGATCTAATTAACACTAAAATCCTACAGTGCTTTTCCGGGCGTGTGACGGTTGTCTGAGTGAGTCTAGATGTGACGAATTTCTATCTAAATTATGTTTCTATTTACTTGTCCACCATTTTTATCTCAGCATATGTTTGTTCATCTAATCGTGTTTGTGTAAGATATGAACAACTACCGATTACTATTTACAGGTTGAGCAAATGAAGCCGTCCAGTTTAGCGATCGATTCTCCTTCAGAAAAGATGTTACGATTTCTGGAAAAGCATTATCATCTAACCCACCCAGTGTTTGCATCCAACAACTTTGTTGTGTATCCGGATTTCTTTCGAATTCACGCTTGTAATACGCGGACGGCTCGTCAGGACTTTTGTGGGAAAACGAACGAAGTTGTGCAAAACACATCCAAACCAGTGGTGGCACAGACACGATATTCCCTAAACAATGCACCGTGTCCTATCCTGCACAGCCGGTTTCCAGCAATACCCACAAACATGCCTGCAATAAAAGAAAGTACCAGTTTTACCCCAACGAGCACAGATCATACTGAAAGTGGTGGCTACATAACCAGTACAAAAGGCCTCGTCTCAGGTGCCAACGTTGGCAAGCACATGCTGAATGTGTCTACCGAACTCCCAAATACTCAAAGTCATTTCTCCTGGAACTCTCATGCTCAACACCACTCCAGGTAGACTGCTACGTCCATGTATTTATTTTATAATTTCCACGGTTACCAGGCTACGAAGCTTAGCTAAGTCGCATAATTTGTGCTGGTTGTCTGGGACCAGAATGCAGGTTTTTGGACACCACAGATCATGAACACCACGGTGAATAGATGATCTGTTTAGGGTAGAATAAGTTTTTATATCAGTACAATAAACAGTGACCAATGATTTAACATGGGTAAATAGGCAAGTGCTTGACAAGTCCCTTAGGATGGTTGGAGTAAGAAAAGATGTGTCAAAGTATGTGAGTCGTCGGTTAACATGATTACAGATTTCCTTGCACTGTTGTATAACGATAGTTTGAAGTCAGCATTAAATGTGCGCACACAAAGCAATAAGGGGGAGCGGTCATTATTCACGTAATGTGCGGTAACAATTGTAATCAAGGGAAATGACAACGCTTATTAGTGTACAGCTTTTTGGGCAGACGGGATAAGTAAATCTAGTTTTCACAGTGGTAGCGTTCAACAAGTTATGTGCTAAAGCGAAAATACATACTTTGCTCTGTAGTATCCGTTCGACGCCCTTATATAGAGAGTTAGATGCCGTAGTGTAAATGTATGAGCGCATCGTCAAGGTCCTTTTGAAAAGTATTAGTCTGGGTGAAGAAACAACTTAAGTGGAGAGGGCGTTCCATGTTTGGTACACACAAAGTGAAAAGAAATTCTGGTGGCATTCCTACTTGCTATGCTTTGTGCTCAGCTTTAGCTGGTGTCTTCTAAGAGTAGCATTGTGAGTTAGTTTCAGGAAATGACTACAACCATGAGTTGGATACCTTAGAATCAAACATACTATTACCAAATCGCCACGCGGGCGTCGATATTGCCCACTGTGGACGCCAAACGGTTTTCAACCTCAGTCGATAAGGGAGATGAAACAGACCCTTTACGTTCTTGGTCGCTCTTCCTTGTGGCAATTCAAGTGCGGTGAGATTTGATTGTGTTAGGGCTGCCGGGCATGAATATCGTATTTTTAGTGGGTCCTACTGTAAGCATTAAGTATCTAAGAGAACATTGAAGGGTCAGAACGCTCGAACACCCTCCGCTGAAGGCCAAGGTGTTGTTTGGCCTTTTTGGACACATTCTCTTCCTGACGTGAGCCGCCAAGATCCTCCAGTACTATCCCACCTAGCTCACATTCAGTAGTAGCACGATACAAAGCTTGATCCTCAGCCTGTACTCGCAAGTGGATGGATGGCGTATGCTCAATGTCTTACACTTGATGGCGTTGAAATGAAGCCCGTGCTGAATCTCCCATTTGTAGATCCCATCAAGGTCATCGTGAAGCGATACGTGTCACACGGTTTTTGGTGGCCCGCCATATCTTGAGATCATCAGCAAAGAGTACAAAATTGGTAGTGAGAACTCTTGCAAGATGGATTATTTAAGGTTTACGTAGGCGTGGACTAAGCACTGAGCCCTGTGGCACTCCGCACTGTACATCGACAGGGTCAGAGATGGCATTGCTAACTCTTACATTCAAACGTCGCTGAATAGGAAAGTTAAATACACAGTCAAGAATTGGGTTACTAACCCCACAGCTCTGGAGCATGTGAATGAGGATGCGATAGTTCAGACAGTCGAATACCTTTGGGAAGTCCGGCTAGACTGCGTCAACCCCCACACAACTGCCAACGATTTCATACCAACTTACGCGTGCAAGCGGCAGGTTTGTGGTGCAAGACCGGTGCTAGCGAAATCCATGCTATCCTGGTGTTATGATTTTGCATGCTTCTAAATATTTCAAAAGCGCTTCGGCAATAGTAGACTCCATGATTTTGGGTAGCACCGGCAGGAGAGTTCTCGCGTGATAGTTGGCTGCATCTGAACTATTTCGTCCCTTGTGGTCTGCACATTTGCTTTGAAACCATAAGATCACCGGTTCGAATCCGCGTAGGGTGGGCGTCCTCGCGGTATACACAGCCCGCGCGCGACTGGTGGTGGTCGCGTGGCAGCGAAGCGCCGTTACGGCGTACAGCTGACACATTATTTATTTATTATTATGTGGATGATTCCGTGCTTCCACATCGTTGGGGGAAATTAGAGATTGGATCTACCAAATTCAATTCAGCTAACTTCAGCGACGTTGGTCTGATGTTCTCAGCACTAGGAACGATGTACTGGCGTAGGGAATTTAGTCCTTCCAGAACATCTGTAGTCTTAAAGGAGATTTCAATAAGTCGTGGTGGTGGTACAAGTTGCGTGAACAACAAAGACGAGAGTCGTGTTCTGGAAGTTTGGGGAGAATTGATGACATAGAACGTGAGCCACTTTTCTTTAATTTGTGTTGGTCCACTTGGCGTGCGGAGGACAGGAATACCTCGCTACACTTCACGAAGTTTGTTTACATCTATAAAGTTACGTGGGGTTTAAGGATAATTTACTGGCCAGATCTTGTTGATGTTTCAGCATGTCCTCGCCTATCACGTTCAGGTAATGATTTACAGGGAGAATGTAAGCTTACTATGTTTCTGCATCCGGTGAATCCTTGTATTTTTGCCAGAGTGAATCTTTTGTGACGATACACTTCCGCTTCCTGCTGCGTATAAAATGGCTCTACTCTCATCGCGCGGACGCATCTTTCTCGAAGCACTGGCTACCAACTTGTTGAGTTGGTGAACAAAAGCCCACCAGGCCACATCGGGGGATAATTCAGCTAGAACGGACCAGTCCGTTGCGTCAAAGAGTGTGGTCAGAACGGCGTAAGCGCTAATACACTGAGACTCATCGGCATTTTCTGCGGAGTATCCTGCATAACAGGTGTAGTGAAGCAACAATGGAACAGTGGTATATTATAGATCAAATAGCGAATGTTTAACAAGTCTCGTAGGATGGCGAGAATGAGAACCACAACATGGTGAAAAGAAAACCAAGTGGAAAAATGAAACTCTTTTCAGTGGACTCACAACACAGCTCACACGGAGACACGCAGAAATGAGTCAGGCTCAGTTGTGTGGGTTAGTGCAGATTGGGCAACGGTAGTCACCTTAACTTTTCTGTTGATGTACACAGGTTATATTTTGAAGTGTAGGTGCAGCGTCAAGTTATACTTTAAAATTAGATAAAATGCGAGCGGATACAGCGTAATTTGGGAGGGCGTTTTATGGCTTGCACATACGAAGAGAGTAAAAGTTTCGCCGACATTCTTGCCGACTGTACTGTGTGGCCAACTTTATTCGGTAACCCCTCGAATTGGTGGTCTGAGTGAGTTGCAGTAGATGGCGGCAGGCTTTCTTTGGATTCCATGAAATTTACTAGGCTATTATTGCATCGTCACGTGGGAGCCGATGTCGGCCGATGTACAATTTTAGGGTACTCAGCCTAAGTTGGTATAGATGATGGAATAACCCTTTTACATATTTCGTGGCTCTTTGATGTGGGGTCCCGAGTCCTGCGGGACCTTGCTTGTGCCAGGCCTGAAATGCGTCTTCCAAATGGTACCGCACGTATGTGTTAAGCAACGGCGAACAAACAGATTTACAAAACCGCCCAAATGCCCTTCGCAGCATACCAACGTGTTGATTGCCAGTGCTCGATGCCTTCTCGGATTGTTTTTAGCATCCCAAATCAGTCTCGATTAGTGCCCCAAGGTCTCGCTCCTAGGTGGTTGCTTGCAGCACATGACCTCCAAGCCTGTATATGATGTTCGGCTGATGACAATTGTGGACCAGCTTACACTTATACGAATTAAGCTGTAGCAGATTGTGGAGTGAACATTCGTAAGCTTTGTTCGGGTCTCCCTGAAGTGCATCGCGATCTCCTTGGTCAGCGATCGTCCGCCACATATTAACATCAACAGCGAATAACAAGAAATCCAAAGTAATCGAATGCGTAAATTTGTTACTGTACACGAGAAATAGCCTCGACGCCAGTACTGATCATTATTCAATGCCACATCCGACATTAATCCGGTTAGATGACGCACTTCGAACTCTAACCTGCAGTTGTCCATCCCGCAGGAAATTCCTGATCCACCGAAAGACAGGATTCCCAATTTCATGGTTTATAAGCCTGTGTAGTCCACTTTAGTCAAGTCAAAAACTGCTTTATACAACATTGACAGGTGGATAATCGGCTACAACACGCACGATCTCCGAAATGTACCAGAATATAAACAAGCACAGAAAACTACCATAAATTGGTTTGATAAAGAACGGACAGAATCGCCATCATACTGCGGATCGGCTTGTTAGGTGTAAGACGACATAGTTGTGGTCCCGTAGAAAATGCGAAAGATAAGGGATAACCGACGAGCCTGTGTGCGATCTTAAATAAGCTTGTACTTCTGGCTCGTAGACGAAGTCCACAGACATGCAGATAAAGCGATGTGAAGCGAAAGACTAATAAGAAACAGTATCTTAGATGTTAGTTTCTTACAAAAATTGGTATGTGTAGAAAGAAGTGTGCTGACAAAAGTAGGCATCGGAATGCCGCTACATCGGGTTAAGCGTCGCTAAGACTTGACCATTAACTTAGAATGCTTACCCAGAAGACCTGAGAAACTCACAGGGGAGCAGGATGTCCAGTGGGGAACACAGTTACTGAGAACTCGAAGAATCAAATCACGAGGGACAGAGGAGGCTCTAAGACGAGAGGCGTAAAATACAACCTGGCTTTGTGAAAGTTTCATTTACATGAAGAGTTTAAGACAAATTTTAGTTCATCACCACACATAGATACTTCACTGATGTGGCAGTGTGTAATCCATCGTCGTGAATAAACAGTTTGAAACACTGTGTAGGGAATTGCGCCTACCTTGCTCCGTTTGTAGCAAGCAAAAAATATCATAGCACTTTGATAAATTACAGACAGATTACGAACTTTAGACCAAATATTTAGGTCGTCTTTAGGCTTGCGTGAGGAATCGACGGTTCGATGGTTACTGCCCAAGACAATGTCGTCAGCATATTGTACTAAGATCGCTTCTGTGGGGGCTGTCATTGAGCTGATGTAAGTAGAATAGT